GCACCTGCGCCTCAGCCTGAGATAATACCCCAACAGCTCGGCAATTAACTTGTCAGGGATTAGGTTTCAAGCTCACCCGCAATCCAACCTTGCCGAATTGTACTCTGGTCTTTGCTGCCAAAACACGCACCAGACCCCGGTACCCTCGATCCACTCTGCAACAGAGGCACCTAGTCTCACTAACCCATCCTTCTCATTCTGTTTTGGCGGTGGGTGGTGAGGCTAAATTCACGTCACTGTATTTTGTACACTTACCCGCCCGATTCTCTGAATATCCATCAAGATATCTCTCTCTCTCTCTTTCCCTATATATATATATATATATATATATATATATATATATATATATATATATATTGGTCGGTGCGTACTATGCCAGACACCCTCTACCGACCAGGAGGGGCAAAACTGATGGGGGCCCCGGGCAGTGCTTTGTGACCCTTGCTATCTTATCAACAGTTGCTTGTATCGACATACATTTATATACGTTGCAAATTAATCTAAGCACAACTATTAAAGAATGAAAAATTTTCGCGGATCTTGACGTCATTCTGGGGAGATTTTTGTCCAAATCCGAGAATTTGTTTTGATCATGCTAAGTCTTGAAGAAACACGATATAAAATCACTATTTTTTTTATCCATAATGTTGAATGTGTTAAAATTATTCAACTTTTTAACAAGATCTCAAGATGATGTTAAAAACTGCCACAAAATCCAGCTGATTTTTTTAAGATGGAATGATCTATAAGGACAAGTCTTTAATTTGTATTTAGAAACATTGTATTTATTAAAAAAATTTCTAGTTAAATTGTTCACCTATATTGCATATGATCTATTATTGTACATCATTAGGTTAAAATTAAATTTTATTTTATATGAATATTACCTTATGGAAATTGAGACGTAGTAGAGAGGAGGATTCCGTATCTTATACTAGGTGGGGCCAACGACACCCTTGCGCCCGCCCCCTCTCTCTCTCTCTCTATATATATATATATATATATATATATATATATATGTGAATAAACTTCAACCTTCCATGAATCTCTCACGTATATTCATGTCTGCTCAATGCGTATCCAAATGTAAACAAATGTCACATTTTATGAAATGGACAAGTTGTTAAACAATTATTTTAAGACATTTTTATGTTTATATATATATATATATATATATATATATATATATATATATATATATATATATATATATATATAAAATTGTGTATTTTGGCATTAGATCTTTAATATATTTTTCGTTGGATAAGGCTTACAAGGTAAATTTCGTTCGAGTTCTGTTTTGCTTGTATATCTACAAGTCTCTTGTTTTCTGGGCTTAATAAATGTAAACATTGTCAAAAATATGTTGGTATCGTGTTCTTTAGAATAAATTGTGATACGGATTATTTTTGTTATACTACTGCTGTAAGTATTATCATAGACACAAGGATAATTAGTCAAACCAGTCGTACTCCAAATACGGCCAGTACATTACAGTCGTATTAGTAATTAATATTGTGTGTGTTCGCCTGTTGTGTCAGATGTAAAGATTTTACCTGGCTTCCCAGTCTTTTCTAAAAATAATTTCATGGTAACTTTTCTGATGAATTTTTCCCCGGTTTCCCGATTTTAAGGTAGCAACTAGATTGTCAACTAGATCTTATTTTTTATTATTGAACTAGCTAGTTGATACTATCGGTTTTGCAGTAACAGTTTTTTTTTATCGCACTTCCTATCAATGAAACTCCCTTCCGATTTAAATTTTGTTATATAGGAATAAAGTGTCGCTACCGACACTTGAGTTTGAACATGGATCGCCAGTGAGCAAACAGTGAGCAAACATAGAGGAAATGCATATACGGAAGGTAGCGTGACGTCTAATTCATCTCTATTTCTAGTCTATTCTCTATTACTCTACGGACCGCTATTCACTATACTATTTCTCTATTCGGATCACTATACGAATTACTATTCCAGCAAGTATTATCGAGTAAATACTATTAGTGTGAGTACTATTCGAAGGCGTCTGACATCAGTATTGTTCAACGGCGTTTCTATAGTTGTATCTGCGATTACAAAGTCTCTACTACAACGAGCATTACGAAAGTAACAACGAGTATTCCTTGCTATTACAAAAGTGTCAGGCGAGTATTCGGTGAGATGACAAAAAGTTTAAATGCAATATCAATCGCCATCTTCTGTCTTCTTGAAGCCTGTTCATTTTGGTCATTTCCCCAATCCTCCCCCATTTTCAATTTTCTCATTCAATTTCTCTCCCCGTAACACGCCTGCGCTCTAGGTACATTGTTGCATTGTCTATCTTACATATTTATACATCTTCATCATCGGTATGACGATAAACTACATCCGCGTCCTGGGTAAGACGATAAACTACATCCAACAGCAAGACCTCGGATCAACCACCTCTTAATTGCTGATGTTCCCAGGTCCACCTTGACTCGGGGTGGTAGCACCTGTTAGGGGCAAATCTATGGGCAAATAGTTAACACCCCAAAACAGTTTTAATACCAGAAATACTTTGTAATAAAAAAAGTATTACCATCAATAACTTTTGAAGGAAAAATTATTATCAGCAATATTATAAAAATACCAACAATACAAACAGCTATACAATTTTTGACAAAATATGACCAGTTATAGATTTCCTCATGTAAAAATTGTCACAGAAATAGATTTTTGAAGAAAAACATATTACCAGCAATAAAAATTTTGTCAGTATTAAATAACCCATTGAGTTTGATATGCCTTAAAACATAACAAACCAAACCAAACATATTTATATATCTACCTTTCATACTTGCTTTGAATATTGCTGCCACATATAGTCCGGTGCTCCTGATATATATAAGAGAGATTCTTGATAAAATCCAAAGAAGAATCAGCAACCTTATTGGTCCTGATATGACGTCACGGCTTCAGTCACTTTCCTATGTGTTTTTCTATAAATCCTTTCGTGGTAAATATATTGATCTTTCGCTGTGGTGGCTAGAATTTATGAATTGAAGCGCAGTATTAAATTGGCAGCAAAGTCTCGTCAATTTACAGTTGAATTGTCTAAATATAAATTCAATTCTATTCTAAATGTTGCTGAACATAATAGTGAATGAGTAATACATCGGCTGAACTTAATAGGGAATTAGTTATACAAAGGCTGGTTTTAATAGGGAATGAGTGACACAAAAGCTGGGCTAATACGGAATGAGTTATACAAAGGCTGGACAATAGGGGATGATTGTTACAAAGACAAAACTTAATAGGGAATGAGTTATACAAAGGTTGGGCTTAATAGGGAATGAGTGATACATAGGCTGGACAATAGGAGATGATTGATGCAAAGGCTGAACTTAATAGGGAATGTGTTATACAAAGGTTGGGCTTAATAGGGAATGAATGATAGAAAGGTTGTACTTAATAGGGAATGAATGATACAAAGGCTGAACTTAATAGGGAATGAGTTTTACAAAGGCTGGGTTTAATAGGGAATGAGTGACACAAAGGCTGGGCAATAGGGGATGATTGATACAAAGGCTGAACTTTATAGGGAATGAATGATACAAAGGTTGGGCTTAATAGTGAATGAATGATACAAAGGCTTGAATTAATAGGGAAAGAGTGATATAAAGGCTGAACTTAATAGGGAGTGAATGATATAAAGTCTGGGCTTAATACGAACTGGGTGATAGAAACGTTGGACCGTGCGTAAATGATGCTGCCATTCAATTTTAAGGTGAGTGTTGCTTAGCTAATGAAATGCTGCCTAACTGACTATCAGAGTACCACCTTTGGGAGCTGATACATTACGTCCTTTACGCTTTTCAAGTTGACATGAAAACAACTTTTTCGGTATCGCTCTTGTGTTCCGACTCGTTTACTTCATTGTGTTATTTTTTTATTTTTTTGAAAATGTCACATGCCTCATGGCCCCAAATTTATACTGTAACGGTTATGCATCACGCGATGCGTTGCCAAAAACTAACCAAATTATAAATCATAAATAATATATCTCTTCACCCCTAACTACGGGTTAATTAGTAAGACTTGTACTGATAAAATATTAATATCTTAAAAAGAATCTTATGATCTCAATATATTTTCTGGCTTTAAATAACTTGAAAAAGTCTGATAAATCTTAAAAAAATATCAATCACTCAAGCAATACTGTAATGGCATATCGATTTTGATAAAAGTCATATCTCACAAAAAACAGAATACTGCTACCAATATTTGAACAGACTGATTTTAAACTTTTTATAGAAAAGAACTAATGATGTAAAAAAAATAGGAGATTTATGTTATAAGTACTGACACTAAAAAGTACATTTGTAGCATTTACCAATTTTTGAGCATTTAGTTTTAAAATATAGAAATACCTAATTTCCACATTCTACGATTAATATTTCCAAGACTATTATTTATTATACTATAAGACAAAAATGAAATCAAAAATTTTTGCTTGATAACTGATTTCAAAATTTTAGTATTTCAAGAATAAATGCAAATGAAGTAAAGTTGATATTTTTTGTATTAGATGAATTGAATAGAAAATATATTCAAACCTGAATTCTAATTATGAATCATCACAAGCAAAATATACAGTTTTTTTTTTTTTTTACTATATTCGATAAGTAAAAACCGTAAAAAACTGTATTTCCTGCTTTGATAGCATTCAAAACTGTCCATTCGGCCTTAAGGAGTAATTAATTGTTTTCCACCTCTAATTTTTTTAGTTCTTCTTCCAAAGTTACTTTTAAATCTATCGCTATAGCCATAGAAAATGTTCTGACGAATAAAATTGGTCTTAGATAACACCCGACACGTATACGACAGCGAAACATTCTCATTTAATTCATACCTCATCTTGAAGATGGAAATTCCATTCAAACAGTTTTTCGTGAGACTCTCGAAAAGATGCTTATCAGCGTCCTACAATCTTAATTTGGGTTAAACATTATCTACTTTTAACGTCTTAGGGCTAGATTCCTTGAAACACCGATTCCCGTTCGATCACGGGAATTAAACAACATCGAACCTGGTCAGTATCTAGATGGGTGACCGCTTGGGAACTCCAACTGCTATAAATTTATATGTGCGGGCAACGCAAGGGATAATAGATTGGAATTGTTAATTGGAGAGAAGAGTTCCAATTTCAGTTGGGTTCGTCATATTTCCTTTAAATACACTTCTCCTTGAATTAATTAATCCTTTGGTTAATTAGTAAAACTTTTATCTCTAAGTAATTATTATCTAAAAAATAAATTCATACAATCTAGAAGAATTTTATGGCTTTAAATAACCTGCAATGGGTTGATAAGCCGTAAAAACGAATCGATCAAGCAATCTGATCTAAAAACCTGTTTTTTTTATGGCTGTTGCATCAATTACACATTAAACGATAAAAATTTGAACTGAAATGAACTGATTTCATTTTTATATCAGTAACATTATTCTCTAGTTTCTAAAATTCCTTTTATAATATTAGGGATTTTCATTAACGAGTTAAGTTAAAATCTTCTCTTTGTTTGGGAAATCGATTTTTTGATTTCATTTTTGTCTTATAGTATAATAAATAATAGTCTTGGAAATATTAATCGTAGAATCCAGTTCCAAATTCCCTTGTGTTCATTAAACCTTTGGAATGGTATGAATCCACTTCTTCTCCCCAGCTATGGGTTAATTAGTAAGATTAAATCATTATTATCTCCAAAATAATTCTTGCATTTTAAAAATTTTTTTTTCTTGCTTAAGTAACCTGAAAAGCCGTAGAAAACAAATCAATCAATCTACTTCAAACGACCTCATTAAATCACCTTCGTCTTTGAGTGGCTCTTGAGCGTTGTACTGAATGAACAATAGTAAATACTTCATTAGCTATTAGAGAGAGTTCAAGTTTGCATTAGACGTCCATCAGTCCCGAGAGAGTTTAGAGTTGTACGCTGGATGATTTTACAGGCGCAGCGCCTGTCGTGGCTTGAGAAATCTATCTGAGAAGATCTGGCCCTCTTACACTTAGCGCTAAAGTCTGATACTGCTCTGTCCGTCACGCTATGGGGTTTCATTCTTTGTCTTTTCCCATCTGACTATTGGATAAATATCAGTTTAAAACTGAACGCGGTTTTCTGTAATGCTTTCCTCGAAAATGTCCGTTGGAAAGTACAGAGTTTACCATGTGTCTGAATTGATGTAAAAAGAGACGTGAGGATAGTAGATTAACTAAAGTCTACCAATTGGGAACTTTCCCTGAACCAGCTATCCGTACAAAAGACCATTGTGTATTCAACCATCATCCATTCGCAAGACGTGTCTAAGACACTGCAAGCGTTTTCGGTTCAAGATGATGTTCATATTGGAATCTCAGCCATTTTGAGAATGGCATTGTTCTTTTTATACCTGCACACATCTTCCTGCGCATTTGATATAGATGATATAAAGTCTTTTGCAATTTTAACAGAAAACAGTTTCCTTAGTGTTATATCCTAACAATAGCCGAGAAAATCACAATGTACTCCGTTATATATATATATATTATATATATATATATATATATATATATATATATATATATATATATATATATTCATTTCATTTCTGGAAGTGCTATCTGATGATCCGGCGTCCTTTAAAAGGGCTCTGGTGAAATAAATTATTATAATGGTACCTTAAAGTGGTCTGTTTTTTCTTTTAAATATATATATATATATATATATATATATATATATATATATATATATATATATATGGTAGGTGCGTACTATAATATACACCCCTATACCGATGTCACCCTTGCTATCTTATCAACAGTTGCTTGTATCTACATACATTTATATACATAGTAAATTAATCTAAGCACAACTATTAAAGAATGAAAATTTCGCGGATCTTGACGTCATTCTGGGGACATTTGTGTCCAAATCCGTGGATTTGTTTTGATCATGCTAAGTCTTGGAGAAACACGATATAAAATCACTATTTGTCTGTGTGCGTGTGTGTGTGTGTATGTCTGAATATATATATATATATATATTGTGTGTATTTAGGCAGCATATTTTCATTTATACACGTTTCATTAAATAATATAGACAAGTGTTGTCTATTTATTTTATGTAAAATTTTTTCGTATCTTCTGATAAGTTTGATAACATTATCACCAACCGAAAAAAGAAATTCACAATATTTATCCATTATTTTTTAATATAATCTAAGCTTTCGGCTTACTCAAGCCATTATCAAAGATGTAATTACAAACATATCAAACAATATACGGACACGACAGTGATGATAGTCTGTCATTGTTTTGTTTACATAGTGGATCACTAAGCAACGATGAACACGCGCATATAAGACGCTAGAAGCGAAAATCGCACCGCATCTCATGACGTCACATATGACTACACGAGAGTGAATTGGAGAATGAAATAAGGAAAGCCGTTGGTATAAACCAATGGCTTCTGTTACCAATTATAGAAATTATAGACTTATATTATAGACATATATTATATAATATTATAAATATTGTGAATTTCTTTTTTCGGTTAATGATAATGTTATCAAACTTATCAGAAGATACGAAAAAATTTTACATAAAATAAATAGACAACACTTGTTATATATTATTTAATTGCATGTATATATATATATATATATATATATATATATATATAATATATATATATATATATATATATATTTAATTGTGTGAATAATAATTATCTATCATTCAAAACTTTTTGTTTAATAAGATGGACAAGTCCAGTCTATTAATTTTTTATTAAATCTTTCAAACTTACGAGAGTTGTTTTGTGTTAAATTTGACAAAAACTTATTAACTTTTATTCTATATTATATTTCCTGAACAGTTTAGAATGTTGCTAAGGAATTGTTTTAAGGGTTGTTCGATGTGTACTTACGCAACGTTCTTTAATTCTGGCGTTCTCAGGTTTGACAAAATAAATTTCAAATCACCCTAGATGACAAGATTTAAACAACTGAAAAAGTACGGGGCGTACGCCGGTCGAAACGTTGTGATAAATTATGGCAGCAAAGATGAGGACAATAGTCCCAATAATGTAAAATTTTTTAATAGTCATCAATAAATATAGAAAAATTTTATAAATACAATCATCTCAGAAATAAATCATTTCAACCTCAAAAAAATAGACAGATACTGAAGGGCCGAAACGTTGTGATAAATACAGCAACAAAGATGAGGACAATAGTCCGAATAATGTAAATAGTGTCCATAATACCTCATCTCAGAAATATAGACAGACTAGCAATAGATCACGGCGTTGCCCGGGGATGTTACAGTAAGAGATAGATCAAGTATCGACCATCATAAAGACTGAAAAATAAAATTGACATAGATTATTTGTTATTATAAACAATTGTCTTGTAAATGGAATTTTTAAAGCATTCTGAATGTAAAAATAAAGAAAAAATTGTGCAAGACAATAAGAAATACTACCTACCAAAAATAGTGAAGTTTTGTTGAAATCGGTTGAAAAATGTAGGAAATCCGATCCCATATATAAACGAACACACACACACACACACACACACACACACACACACACACACACACACACACAACCTGGGATTTAAGTATAACTCGATATGAGTTGTCCCCATTTCATTCTGGCGATGCCTCTTAATCCTGTTTTCAAATTGATTTCGTGCAAAAACAATTGTGTTTTTTCCAATATTTGGCACTGTCAGAACCACCGCAATGTAATTTTACGTAGTGCTGTGAAGTTTTGTTGAAATCGGTTGAAAAATGTAAGAAATCCGATCCAATATATAAACGTACAGACACACACACACACACATTTATAATAAGTATGATAATGAAGGGTCGAAACCTTGTGATAAATGTGGCAACAAAAATGAGAACAATAGTCCGAATAATGTAAATTTTTGAATAATACCTCATCTCAGAAATATAGACAGATACTGGCCTTTGAACTTTAACTTTGATAAATAAACAAAAACAAAGATGATTTCAATAGTCCGAATAATTTAAATAGTGTACATAATACCTCATGTCAGAAATATAGACAGATACTGAAACGAAACGTTTGATAAATATAGCGGACAAAAGATGAGGGACAATAGTCCGAATAATGTTTTTATTTTAACATAATACCTCATCTCAGAAATACTTTTCAGATACTGAAGGGCCGAAACTTTGTGATAAATATGGAAACAAAAATCAGAAAATAAGTCCGAATAATGTAAATAGTGTCCATAATACCTCATCTCAGAACTATAGACAGTAACTGGTATAAAAATGAAGTCAATTTATTTAGTTAAATAAATTGATATTATTTTTATACCATTTAATTTATTCTATAGTTTTAAAAATTTGCTTTATAATGTTAAAGAAGTGTCTAAGAAGTCAATTCAATATTTATCTTTGTTTAGGAAATCGATTTTCTGTGACATTTAAACCTCAAATTTTACACGAGCTTAGTTTTTTTTTCAGGATAGGGGCCAACGGATAATTTGGGTTGTTCAAATATTGGAAGATCTGATATTTTCCTTCTGTAAAACGAATCGCATTTTTTGTTTTGTTATTTTTACCTATTTTTTTCTGTCTTTTTTTTTTTTTTTGTATTTTTACAGAAACCAGGAAAAAAAGCAATTTGAACAGCTGCGCTAAGCCAGGCGCGAACCGTGGATCGCGGTATCCGAATCCCTAAGTAATCACTGAGGCATTAACTTGGCAAAAGCAGTCGGTCAGATAAAACAAAATGGAACAAAAACAATATTTAAACCAAGTAGTGAAAGAGATTTCTTGTTGACCCACCCACACAAAATATATATATATATATATATATATATATATATATATATATATATATATATATATATATATTTATTTGGGCAGCATTTCTTCTTTTATACAAGTTTCATTTAAAACGACTGACAGTAGACATCGATAAAGTTTTTTCGTTTAAATTTTCTTCTGTTTTTTGTGGGGATATAAATTATGTAGAATTCGGACAATTTCTACATAATTTATGTCCAGAACAAAAAAAAAAACAAAAAAAATACCACAAGTAAGATTAATTAAAATA